CACGCCGCACCTCCTCCCCGCCTCACATTTCCTGCCCATCCACATCCACGATCGGCACAGGGACGCGGGGAGATGTAGTAAGGAGGAGCAGGTGTGGGGGGATGACAGCTGCTGATAAGACAGGTCCGATCTCAGAAGCAAGTTTCTGGAAGACTGCACTTTCCCACACATGGTGCTCTATAATGTATTGCTGGGATTTGTATTCCTCTATAGCTGATGGTACATTGTGCTGTATATTATACATAGGAATACAAATCCCAGCAATACATTATTCACTGTATGTATTTGTAGGGCTGCAACAACTAATCGACATAATCGATTATTGAAAAAGTTGTCAACTTTTTCAATAATCGATTAATCGGCTTCCGATCAGTTGGCCCTGTTCACGGCTCCACACGCTGTGCGCTGCACCTCCTCCCCACCTCACGCTCGCCGCTGCCAGACCCGCTCGCATCCCCGCTCCACCTGCCGCACCTCCTCCCCGCCTCACATTTCCTGCCCATCCACATCCACGATCGGCACAGGGACGCGGGGAGATGTAGTAAGGAGGAGCAGGTGTGGGGGGATGACAATCGCCGATAGAAAGGTCCGATCTCAGAAGCAAGTTGCTAGACAGGTCCAATCTCAGAAGCAAGTTGCTGGAAGACTGCACTTTCCCACACATGGTGCTCTATAATGTATTGCTGGGATTTGTATTCCTCTATAGCTGATGGTACATTGTGCTGTATATTATACATAGGAATACAAATCCCAGCAATACATTATACACTGTATGTATAATGTATTGCTGGGATTTGTTGTACTCCTTTATAGCTGGTGATATTCTGCATTGCGCTTTATAGAGGACTACAAGTCCCAGCAATAATACATTATACAGCGCAATGCAGAATACCACCAGCTGTAGAAGAGTACAACAAATGCCAGCAATAATGCATTATAAAGTGGTACAATGCTAAATATCACTAGCTATAGAGGACTACAAAACCCAGCAATAGTACATTATACAGCACAATGCAGAATGCCGCCAGCTATTATGTACTATTGCTGGGATTTGTTGTATGCCTCTATAACTGGCGGTATTCTGCATTGTGCTGTGGTTTTGTAGTCATCTATAGCCGTTGCCATTCTGCATGCATTGCTGTATAATTTTACACTTTCCATTTCACTATATTGCACACCACACTATCTTTTTTTTTTTTCTTTTTTACTTCCACCGCTCCAAAGCTTGCTCCTGTGATGGACTACAACCTCAATACAAACTAGTAGTCCATCACTGGAGCAATTTTTTAAATTTTATTTTATAGTTTATCCGATTAACCGATTAATCGAACTTAATAATCGGCTAACCGATTTTGAAAATAATCGTTAGCTGCAGCTCTAGTCGTGTGTATGTGTCTATACTCCTTACCGCCCCAAAAATGTGTAATTCCAGATAGCACAGCCAGGAGGGTGACCTCATTTGTTTCCATTGCAATTAAGTAATACAGCTTGGTCGCTGACCCTCCTCTTGCTTGTTGTTGGACAATGAAGCGGCTGATTGTTTCTTGACAAGCTCTCTATAGCCATTGGCCGTAGAACCAGCATAATGACCCTTTCATGTATTTCTATTAAAGATGGAAAGCAGATCAGGATTTCTGGTTCTGTCTTGTATCTGTCAGAGGTTCAACTTTCCTGCCACCTATCTGGAGGAATTGTTTCCATGTTCTGGATATCTATTTGTAGATCTGTTTCCCCCCGTTGTGTATGGCCCGATGTGGGTTTGTTCTGCTTGTCTGGGTGGAGACTCTTTCAGCAGGACGATGGATGAAAGCTTTGTCTGGTGCAGATTTCCAACGATTTCATCTTCTGTTTCAGCGCAACCGACCCACAACCACCGGCGCTCGTGTCTGAAGATGAAAGTGTTTGTGTGCTGCGCAACCAGTGAGTACACAGCTATTCCATTTATTTCCGGGGTCCATTCATATCCATACAATCTGTGGGGTGCTCATAAATACAAAGTGCAGATATAGCGCTGTCGGTGTGGGACGGTCTCCCTGCTCATGCTCTGTGCCGTTGGTAAATGTACCGGCAGCAAATTGATCATTGCCGATATTTAGTCTGTAGTGTG